TCTAAACAATTCAGTAGTTACTGTATTAGGTCTCTCTTCTCTAGTAAAAAGGAAGACAGATTTCTTTATGGTGAAGACAGTCGTCCTGTGTCGGTTGAAAAGGGGTCTCAAAAATGAGCTCATCTCCTAGCTAACTATTGTAGGAACAGCAGCTCAGCACCGATTATACCAAAACTAAGACTGTCTGGCAGGTGTGCACCTCTGAATAAATGGTTATTCTTTTTTAAAAAAAATAAAATAAAACCACTAAAACAATCCTTAAAGTACTTAGGGGAACATTTGCAGAAAATAGCTTCAGAATGTAGTTCTTTTTTTCTTTTTTTTTTGGTACACGGGCCTCTCACTGTTGTAGCCTCTCCCATAGCGGAGCACAGGCTCTGGACTCGCAGGCTCAGCGGCCATGGCTCGCGGACCCAGCTGCTCCGCGGATCTTCCCGGACCAGGATACGAACCCGCGTCCCCTGCATCATCGGCAGGCGGACTCTCAACCACTGCGCCACCAAGGAAGCCCCAGAGTGTAGTTCTTAATCAATTTAAATGTCCTACAGAAACTACATGAAGATCCTCTTCTGGATTAAACATAAACATTCTTAGGCTAATGGTGTCTTGCCCAGGTTATATGGGGCGGGGCTGCAGAACCTCAACCAAGTCATTGTACAAGAATATACTTGAGAAAATATATTGAAATGTCTAGGTATTTTTCTAGCTCTGAGAAATGTATCAGCTCTACTTAAAGATCCCCCCCCACAATGAAGTTTATGTGGTTCTCAATCAAGCACTTGCCAAATATTCACAAGTCACCTACTATTTGCAATGTAGCACCCTAAATTTACTCTTCACTCAAAACCCTTCAATATCTTGTTTAAAAGGTTCCCTAAAATTACAAACTACCCAACTCCAAAGCTAAAAAGTACATACATCTTTGCAGAGCTAACAAGAATTCTTCATGAACAATCCTCCTAATGACTATATAGTTCCCTAAATAGACACACAAGTGCAAACTAATATATTTTTTTCTAAGGTTTTTTAAAAATTTATTTACTATTTATTTATTTGGCTGCTCGGGTCTTAGTTGCAGCACGCAGGATCTTCGTTGCAGCATACGCGATCTTTCACTGCAGCGCATGGACTCCCTAGTTGTGGCGCGCAGGCTCAGTAGCTGGGGTACAGGGGCTTAGTTGCTCCGCAGCATGTGGGATCTTAGTTCCCTGACCAGGGATCGAACCCGCATCCCCTGCATTGGAAGGCAGATTCTCAACCACTGTACCGCCAGGGAAGTCCCAGGGCAAACTAATATTAACATATTTTTAAAGTGAAATACAAAAGGAAATTTTTATTTTTCAAACCTTTCCTTTTAAAAACATCCTTATATATACATATTTTTCAATAATTAGGATCTTACAATATATGATACTCTGCAATCTTTTTACATTTAATAACGTATCATGAATATCTTTCTATGTAAATACAGATAGATCCATTTATCTATCTTATCCTTTTAAATGACTTCTTTTCATTCCTTTGTGTGATGTACCATAATTTAACCAATTCCTCAAAAATACATATTTGGGTTGTTTCCAATTATTCACTATTATAATAATAATGCCACAGTAGTATTATTCTTGTCCACATATTTTTATCTACTTACATATGGATAGTCCCTTAGGGTAATTTCCTAAAAGTGAAATAGTGGATCAAAAGACGTGAACATTTAAAATGTTGATACTGTCACATAAAGGCTGTGTACCAACACATTTGTACTTTCTTGATTACTGTTATGCAACACATATTTTCATGAATATGTCTTATCATTTGTATTTCTTCCTTTGGGACTTGCCTTTTCACGTAGCAAAGGAAAAATTTTAACCCTGTAAATGTGTTTTATAGTTCAATCATGCATGAGGGAAGCAAATAGTACATAATAATAAGACTAAAGTTTGCTTATATAAAATTTATTCCCTGTTTTATAAATCTAATATGAAACTTAGCACACTTAATATTTAGTAATAAACCCTTCATATTTGTAAATATGTGTATGGGGTTGAGCAGTGTCCACCCGCTAAAATGCATGTCCACTGGAATCTCAGAATGGGACCTTACTTAAAAATAGTCTTTACAGATGTCATTAGTTAAGTTGAGATCATACTGGATATGGGTGGGACCTAAATTCAAAGAGCAGTGTCCTTGTAGGAAGAGAGAACACAGACAGAAGGTGGCCATGTGACCACAGAGACAGAAATCAGAATACTGAAACTAAAAGCCAAGGAATGCCAAGGATTGCCAGCAACCACCAAGAGAAACACAGGACAGATTCCCCCTCAGAGCCTCCAGAAGGAATCTACCCTGCCAACACCTTATTTTCGGAATTCTGGTCTCCTGAGCTGTTAGGGAATGAATTTCTTTTCTTAAGCCACCCCGTTTGTGGCACTTTGTTACAGCAGTCCTAAGAAACTAATACAATATGCATATTGTATTACAATATGCATTACATATTGTATTGCAATACAAAATTTCAAAAGTCAGGGTTACAGAACTTTAAAAAGCTCTTCCTATTTCCTGGAATACCATGATAAAAATGAATTTTAAAACAGAATGTTCTGGGGGCTTCCCTGGTGGCTCAGTGGTTGAGAATCCGCATGCCAACGCAAGGGACACGAGTTTGATCCCTGGTCCGGGAAGAGCCCACATGCCGCAGAGCAACCAAGCCCATGCGCCACAACTACTGAGCCTGCACTCCAGAGCCTGTGAGCCACAACTACTGAGCCTGCGTGCCGCAACTACTGAAGCCTGCGCACCGCAACTACTGAAGCCTGCGCGCCTAGAGCCTGTGCTCTGCAACAAGAGAAGCCACCGCAATGAGAAGCTCGTGCACCACAACAAGGAGTAGCCCGTGCTCCCCGCAACTAGAGAAAGCCCACGCACAGCAACGAAGACCCAACACAACCAAAAATAAATAAATAAATTTAAAAAAAAAGAATGTTCTGAAATATTTAAATGTTTAGTAATACAGAGAAATGTCATTCTGCATGTTTATGCCCGATAACCTGAGACCACCCTAAGACAAGAGGAAAGGCATGAAGAGTCATTCTAACCCACCCTCTCCTAAACATCCTCAGTTGAGAATTCCACTGGGGGCCTTCCCTGGTGGCCCAATGGGTGAGACTGCACTCCCAATGCAGGGGACCCAGGTTCGATCCCTGGTTGGGGAACTAGATCCCACATGCATGCCACAACTAGAGTTTGCATGCTGCAACTAAGACCTGGTGCAGCATGAATGAATGAATGAATAAATTTTTAATTCAAATGAAAATCAAGTACTTAAAAAAAAAACAGAATTCCACTGGACATCTTCCCTACCAGTGATGAACAAACCAGAGCTTAGGTTTGGTAAAAGTATGTCTAATAATGGAACGTTATAACCCTAAAAGAACACATCACCTACACACTCAACTTTCTCTCCTACCTAACTCACAAAGTGTTGCCTAAGCAGATTTCTCTCCAAAGCCAGGCCCCAACCTTGGATTTCTGAATTGCCAACCAACAGGCTGTGGAAGTTTCCTGCTCAGGAAAGCTGCCAACCACATAAAAATATCACACAGGTGACAAATAGAAGGTAAAGGTAAGTCTCTCAAACTCGGTTTCTTTTGCAATATTAAGACCAGCTGGAATGTAAATCTTAGGTTGAACAAGCATATTAACTGTCTTGAACCAACTGAGCCAAATGAACTGAAAAAGATGCATTTTACGTTTAATATGAGGCTATGAAAAATTCCCACTTCAAAAGGCAAGTTCTCCTACTAACTAAACAGTATATATCCTCTAAATGACTTCCCCAGTATAACAGAACTTCTAGTTTAGCACAGTAAGGCTTTGAGGCAAGAAGGACGGGGACGTGAATCTCTGCCCCACTACTTACTAGCTGAGTACTTTGAGCAAGTTACTTAACTTTCCTAAGCCAACTTTTTCATTTTTAAGATAAAGGAAATACCAACTCCATGGAATTACTGGGAACATAAAGAATAAAAGTAATGAGCACAGTGCTGGTGCTATTGTCTGAATGTCTGTGTGCCCCTAAAACTCATATGGTTGAAATCCTAACCCCTAAAGGTATTAGTAGGTGGGGCCTTTGGGAGGTGATTAGGTCACGAAGGTGAAGCCCTCAAGAATGGGATTAGTGCTCCTATGAAAGAGATGCTACAATCAGAACTCTTAACACCAGAAAGAGAACCCTCACCCAACCATGCTGGCACTCGGATCTTGGATTTCCAGCCTCCAGAACTGTGAGAAATGAATTTCTGTTGCTTATAAACCACCCAGTCAATGGTATTTTGTCAGAGCAGCCTGGAGAGACTGACGGTTGGGAACACAGCTGGCCTCTAAAATCGGCAGCTGCTATTATTTCTACTTTACTCGGAACCTAAGAAGCTCAGATAAAGTTTATAAACAAAAGCACTTAGTTTAACACACATGTAAAATGAGGACTAGCCATTATATGACTCAAGGTCTCAGTGAAAAAGCAACAAAAATAAGACAATGGAACCCAAGTGTCCCACCTCTGATTTCTCTAAGCTACCGTCTAGTCAGCACTTCCTGATATTAACTCATGACCCAGCATCAAGTTTTGCTATAATCACAAATAAGATGAAAACAATAGCCATGCCGTGCATCATGATACCTTTGTTTGGGAATTTAATTTTACATCATAAAAATGAGCTAATGATAAGTTTTCCCTTTTTTAGCACTTTTATCTCTTGTAAACCAGTAATCGTAACGTCTCCCTTAGAAAGATCATTAATGGGTATTAGCACAACCATTTCAGATGGAGAAACTATGGTCACAGTAAGGCAGGAGCAAAAACTGAACTAGATTCTAAATACTATTCTTTCTAAGAAAGCATACTATTTCTCTTAGCATTTACTATTCACAATTGATATTTTCTGGTCACTATTTAATTCCAAACATAAAATCACATGTATAAAATAACATCATTTAAAACACACCTTTCAATTTGCCATCGAAGTCAGGGCTTGTGGCAACCTGGAGCCCTGGATGTGGTAGCAGAAAACAGGTGACGCTGGAGAAACACGAGTGAATGTGATTTCGGACATTCTGAATTTCTTCATGTTGATGTTCTTTCACCTGCCAATAAAGGCTGACAATTTACAAAAGACCATTTGATTTTCCTCACCAGCAACCACTAGTATATGACAAAGGAGAGACTTCCCAATTCTAATGGATCGTAGTGGCCTAGGTGTTTGCCAATGAGAAAACTCAGAACCCTAAGAAGCAATAAATGCATAAAATCGATTAACCATGGCTTGGCTCCTAGAGCTATCAAAGAACAGCAACTAAAGAGTTTCTTAAAAAAGAGTATTGCACAAGACTTAGGAAGAATAAGGGAAGGTTTGTGGGCATGAAGCAGGGTCTAACCAATTAGCAGTGATTGACAGAGGCCTCCTGTGGTTTTTTTTATAAGTTTATTTATTATTTTTATTTTATTTATTTATTTATTGTTTCTGGCTGCGTTGGGTCTTCGTAGCTGAGTGCGGGCTTTTTCTCTGGTTGCGGCGAGTGGGGGTTACTCTTCGTTGCGGTTCCCAGGCTTCTCATTGCGGTGGCTTCTCTTGTTGCAGAGCATGGGCTCTAGGCACGCGGGCTTCAGTAGTTGTGGCATGTGGGCTCACTAGTTGTGGCTTGTAGGCTCTAAGCGTAGGCTCAGTAGTTGCGGTGCACGGGCTTAGCTGCTCCGCGGCATGTGGGATCTTCCCGGACCAGGGATTGAACCCGTGTCCCCTGCACTGGCAGGCGGATTCTCAACCACTGCGCCACCAGGGAATCCTGACTTCTGTGTTTTGAAGCCTGTTTGTATCCACACCAGAAACAAAAGGCACATATGGACCCACGTGTAAAATGTGAAATGGAAACTGCAATTAAAGCTTGGGCTTTTGCACGGGGTTCTGCTCTCCAATCCCTGTGAGTTATATACATGGGTTCTCTAATCTTACCATGAATATTATTATTGTGTGCTAATATTCCAGAGTGTTCAACACACAAGGTAATTTTCCATGATGTGCTTTAAATACAATAGCTAAAGGCAAATGAGAAAGTTATCACTACTTCAGGTAATTCCTCAGATTATATTTCTACTTACCTGTAGACGCTTTTCCAAAAACGACATTCCTCCCTGTAGTCCATAGTTGTATTCATAAGGGAAACTCCAGTCTCGAACCAGAAACATCAGTGTCTGTTTAGAAAGAGAGCAGAATGTATTATAATACTGCATAAATGTATTTTCAAAATAACCATTCAAATACTTCTTTGCATAATGCCAGCTTCTTCAAAGGGGGCAAGAAAATGTGCTAAAGGATTTATCTACTCTGTAATGTCTTAGAAAACCTTATAAACACTAGCAGAACATGTATAAACCATATGTGAGGTCAATATCCCATCTGATATTTTTGTTCTCATGGGTTAATAGGAAGAGACTGATGAGAAAATCTTAAATTCGGGGCTCTGCTCGAAATGCAAGTATGAGGAATACGGTGGAGGACAAGAAAAACATACAGCACTAGCTACTCATAAAATGAGATCTACTTTTAACGTCAGAAAGGAAAAGAAAACTAAAACAATAATACTTAGAGATCCTCTAACCTTACTGAGGTTTACTATGCATTCTTACCCTCATAAAACAATTAGCTAAAGCAGGGGTCAGCAAACTTTCTGTAAAGGGCCACAGAGTAAATATTTCAGGCTGCTGTAGCAAGAAGCAGCCATGGACAACACAAATGAGAGTAGCTGTGTTCCAATACAACTTTCACTGTGGACACTGACATTTAAATTTCAAATAACTTACATATGTCATGAAATATTATTCCTCTTTTGATTTTTTTCAACCATTTAAAAATGTAAAAAAAAAAATCCTAACTCACAGGTCATATGAAAGCAGGCAGCTGGCCAGATCTGGCCTGTGGATTGTAGTTTGCTCATCTCTGAACTAAAACAAAGATATGACTTAAATATTTATACTTAATATTCTACCTGGAAGGGTTTTTGGAAAATTTCATCCATCGCCAGACGACCATATTCTGTGAAGAGCTTTAAAAAGAAGAGTTATGGTTTGTAAGGCAATATTACATAAAGTATTTCTATGGCCATTCTATAGCAAATAATTCATTTAACAGACTGAACAGTACTTATCTGAGACCAAAATTCTACAGTTTCAAAAGTCCGCAGGAGTCATGAACCTTAAAATAATCTTGACTATTCCTCTCTCTCACATTCCTCATCCCAATTCATTAGCAAACCCAAAATCCAACCACTCACAACTTCCATGTGGCTTACAATATTGCAGTAGTTTCTCCCGCGTCAGCCCTTGCCCCCCCCCCCAGACTCTTCTCACTACAGCGGCCACAGTGGCTCTGTCATACACAAGGTTAGTCAGACCACATCATACCTCTGCTCAAAACCCTCCAACCTCATTCAGGATAAAAGCCAGTCCTTACAGTGTGATCCAGTCACACTGGCCCTCCTTGATGTTCCTCAAACCTGCAGGGCGCACTGCTGCCTTAGGGCCTTTGTTTTCACTCCTCCTGCTGCCTGCAGTGTTCTTCCCCCAAACACCCACACAATCAGCCCCCTCACTGCTTCAGGTCTTTACTCCAATGACTGCTTCTCAATGAAGCCTCCCATGGCCATCTACCTAAAAAGATTAGTTTTCCACATATTTCCTACCCCATGTCCTTGTGAAATTTTTCTCCTTCACCTGTCTCACTACCTAACATAATATACCTTTATTTATCTTGATTAGTGTCTGTCTTCACTACTAGCATTTAAACTTCGTGACGGCAAGGACGTTTGTCTGTTCTGTGCACTACGGGACCTCCAGCAGCAACAGTAGCATGTACTGGGCCTGTAGGATGCATGCCATTCAAAGGACCCAATGAACGAATTCTTTAAAGTCAGGGTTTACACATACATTTACCTCTATTTCTTCATGAAGCCTCACTAAAAAGTAAAGCAAAACGAAGTTTAAAAATTGTAAACTCACAGGACAGAGAGGATCACAAATGATATGAAAAAGAGAAGTTGTCACAAACACTCTGGAAGGAAAACAAATGAGAACGGCCTCGGGTTTTGGCTTTGTCCGCCCTGCTAAGAAATCTGTGAGGCAGGGTCAGAAAGAGACAAGCAGAGTCTCTCAGCAGAATCCCTGAAAGGCTCAGAAATGAGAAGCACCCTCACCCTGAAGGAGGGCGTAAGGGAGCTGGGAAATGGCTGAAGTCTTTGGAGGGATCACCGACACTCCCAGATCCTGCTCCCTCCGCCTGCTCCAATCCCCTTCCTGCCCCCACAGAAGATGGGAAGTGAACCAAAAAGCATTTAGACTTTGAAACCAAACTCAGCTGAAGATGGGAGTAAGTCCCCTATCTTACTGGAAACAGTTACTTAAGTCAAGTCTACATGTGCCATAGTGAGGCTCCTTGGGCCTCTCACCCTGCTGGAGTCACAGCAAGCTTTACCTACTCAGGCAGGAGTTTAAAGATGTCTCTGGAGAAACTGACAACCCAAGAATAATAGTCTGCAAATACTGACATTTAGGGGCTGCAACAAAATAACTAAATAATCTTGCCCAATGATCTCACTGGTGATCCAAACCAGTAGAAGAGGCCCACTCTCTTACCAAAAGCTCCCAGTTGGTATTTTAGTGGCTCGCTCTTAAATATTGATGACCAGGGACCACCACACCTTTGAGAAAAGCTTCTAGCAAGGAAGACAAAAACTCATGTCTTTCAATTCTAGAACATCATCTTAATCCTTTTATAATTTCTTTTCCTCCATTTTCTGTGTTCTGTTTTACTAATATCGATTACCAACATGTTAAGCCTCTCCTGAATTGATCCTCAAATTTTCCTATTTTTCAGTGCCCTCCGTTTTCCCTCTCCTCCACCTCTCCCTCTCCTCTCTTCCTCCCCTTTCCCTTCTCTCTCCTCCCCACTCTATCTCTCTCCTCTCCTTTTCTCTTCTCTCAATGCTCCACTACCTCCCCTGCTACTGATTTCTACTCTCTGTCTTTTTAGTCAACCTGTTAGGAGAATTTTCTCCAATTCACCTTCTAACTCCTCCTGTACTGAATTTTCCATTTTTGCTGTCATAGTTGTAATTTCCAGGAGATCTTTCTGGTTTTCTGAAGGTTGCTTTATACCAGCATCCTGTTATTTCTTGGTTGCAACAGTTGCAACGTCTATCTTTCTGAGGATATGAGTGTACCAAGAAGGAAGAAAAAGCCCACACTAAGGTACATAACCATGAAAATTCATACCAAGAATCAGAAGATCTTAAAAGCGTCAGAGAGAAACAAAAAGGTCACATACAAAGGAATCAGATGATGTGGGACTTCAGCAGAGACACTGGAAGCTGGAAAGTAATGAAACGATGCCTTCAATTCTAAAACAAAATTATTTCCTATAATTCTAGGATAAAATTAACACATGCTCAGATTTACTAGACCTCAAAAATGTTATCTTCTATGCAGCCTTTCTCAGGAAGCTACTGGAGAATGCATACAATGATGGACAGAATAAACAAAAGATTAAATGGGATCCAACTGAGAAAGGAATCAAAAAGAAATTGCCCAGCCCTGATTTCAAACTATATTACAAAACTATAGTAATCAAAACAGTATGGTACTGATATAAAAACAGACACACAGATCAACGGAACAGAATAGATAGCCCGGAAATAAACCCTCATATACATGGTCAATTAATTTTGGAAAAGGGGGACAAGAATACACAATGGGGAAAGGAGAGTCTCTTCAATAAACGGTGTTGAGAAAACTGGACAGCTACATGCAAAAGAATGTAACTAGACTACTATATTACACCATACACAAAAATTCACTCAAAATGGATCAAAGACTTGAATGTAAAACCTGAGACCATAAAACTCCTAGAAGAAAACATAGGTAGTAAGTTCCTTGACATAAGTTTTGGCAATCTTTGGATTTGACACCAAAAGCAAAGGCAACAAAAGCAAAAATAAACAAGTGAACTACATCAAACTAAATAGCTTCTGCACAGCAAAAGAAACCATCAACAAAATGAAAAGGCAATGTACTGAATGGGAGAAAATATTTCCAAATCATATGTCAGATAAGAGGTTAATATCCAAAATATAAAGAACTTATGCAACACAACAGCCCCCCCCCAAAAATCTAATTAAAAAACAGGCAGAGGATATGAATAGACATTTTCCCAAAGAAGACATACATGTAGCTAACAGACACATGAAAAGGTGCTCAACATAATTAATCATCAGGGAAATGCAAATCAAACCCACAACGAGCTATCACTTCACACCAGTCAGAATGGCTATTATCAAAAAGACAAGTGTTGGAGAGGATGCGGAGAAAAGGGAGCCCTTGTCCATTCTTGGTGGGAATGTAAATTAGTGCAGCCACTACAGACAACAGTATGGAGGTTCCTCAAGAAATTAAAAATAGAACTACCATATGATCCAGCAATCCAACTTCTTGGTATATATCCAAAGGAAACAAAACCATTATTTCAAATAGATATCAGCACTCCTATGTTCATAGGAGCCTTATTCACAATAGCTAAAATACAGAAACAGTCTAACAATCTAAGTGTCTGTCAATGGAAGAACAGATAAGAAAAATGTTATATATATTATACATATATATAATGGATTATATATACCACAAGGGAATTTTTTTCAGTCTTTAAAAAGAAAGAAACCTTGTCATCTGTGGCAACATGGATGAAACTTAAAGGTAATATGCCAAGTTATATGCAGATTAACCCTCCATGTTGTTCAAGGGTCAACTGTATTTAATAATACTGTACTGGATACTTGAAAGTTGCTAAGAGTTTTAAAAGTTTTTACCACACACACACAAAAATAATAAAAATAATTTTTTATTAAAAGAAAGAAAATAGGGACTTTCCTGTGGTCCAGTGGGTAAGACTCCATGCTCCCAATGCAGGGGACCCATGTTCAATCCCTGGTCGGGGAACTAGATCCCACATGCGTGCCACAACTAAGAGTTCACATTACACAACTAAGAAGTCCACAAGCTGCAACTAAGATTCTGCATGCCACAACAAAGAAGTCCACATGCCACGACAAAGATCCCGCGTGCCACAACTAAGATATGGCGCAGCCAAAATAAATAAATAAACAAATAATTGTAATAAATAGATAAATTACTAGGATGACGGCTATGCCCCAGGTCTAGAAGAAGCACTCCAGACTAAAGGAAGAAAACACAGGCCAAGAAGTCATGCCTCCCCAAGGAAAAATAAAACAGAACCTAAAGTATTAAGATCAGACTGAGACATTTTTTGAGTCTCTCCTTTGCAGACGCATTACTGATAAGCACAGAACACTAAACTAATGAAAAGACTGATATAAGACACCTCAGTTATGAAGAACATATACATATATCCATGTAATAAGGCAAATACAAATACTTTTTTAACCAAAAATTGCAACGTTAACTACTGGGAAGATGAGAGGAAGGAAACTGAGTGAGGGGTAGGAGAGTTGTAAAGAGAGAGAAATCCTAATTTTATATAAGAAATAATACTTAAGTCTTTTAAATCCAGAAGGAACAATATAAACACGTTCTTTAAAACTGTAGACACAAATAGCAGAAGACACAGCCAAAAGGAGTACAAGTGGCTGCCTCTGGAGAAAGGGAATGGGACGTAGAAGGGATGCTCATTATGAATAGTGCAAGACTACTGACTTTTAAACTATGAATACAGATCACCATGTTAAAAATAAATAAAATGTTTTTTTAAAAAAGTACAGTTTTCCCTGGTGGCGCAGTAGTTAAGAATCCGCCTGCCAATGCAGGGGACACGGGTTCGATCCCTGGTCCGGGAAGATCCCACATGCCGCGGAGCAACTAAGCCCGTGTGCCACAACTACTAAGCCTGCACTCTAGAGCCCGTGAGCCACAACTACTGAGCCCATGCACCACAACTACTGAAGCCCGTGCACCTAGATCCCGTGCTCTGCAACAAGAGAAGCCACTGCAATGAGAAGCCCGCGCACCACAATGAAGAGTAACCCCCGCTCACCGCAACTAGAGAAAGCCCACATACAGCAACGAAGACCCAATGCAGCCAAAAATAAATAAATAAATAAAATTTATTTTTAAAAAAAGTAATTTTTTTAAATAAATTAAAATACCATATATAAAAAAAGACAAACACACACTATAAAACTGTATACAACTATATACAACCATGATTTCCTATCTGTAATTCTGAAATCCAAAAAGCTCTAAAACCCCAAGTTAAGCAGCAAACTCATTTGGAGGAAAGTCTGCCTTAAACTGATGTAAGGCTTTAAATAGGTTTAATTTATCCTATTTCATATAATTAGTCACACATTTCACTGCAGAAATATTAATGTGTTTAATTAGAAGGTATTAATCAAATCCCCATTCCTATCCTAGACATCATGCTATAATGTATGCACCATATTATTTATCTAAAATCCAAAAACAGGACTTCCCCGGTGGTCCTGTGGTTAAGACTCTGTGCTCCCAGTGCAGGGGGGCCGGATTCGATCCCTGGTCAGGGAACCAGATCCTGCATGCCGCAACTAAGAGCCCACATGCCACAACTAAAAGATCTCACCTGCAACTAAAGATCACACGTGCTGCAACTAAAGATACCGCATGCCACAACCAAGATCCCAAGTGCCACAACGAAGACCCAGCGCAATGAAATAAGTAAATTAAAAATTTTTTTTTAAATTTTAAATCCAAAAAAATTTGAACTCCAAAACACATGTAGCCTCAAAGCATTTGGATAAGGGCTTGTCGTCACATGTCATGTATTTCCTATACGGATACATACCTGTTTACAGAACACAGGAAAAGAATAGAAAGGATACATTCAAAACTGATAGGCATAGTGGTTACCTCTGGGGAGGGGGAGAGGGGGACTTCAGCCTTATCCAAAGTGCCCAATTTTTTGAAGGGATAATATTTCTAATTTCATCAGTAATATTATACATTATTAACTTTTAAAAGGAGAAAAAGTATTACAATGATAGATATCATCTTACCCATTTAGAGAGCTTAATTCTAGGCTCTACGAAGAAGGCACAGAGTGAAGGGAGTACCTCCACCAGGAAACCTTTCCCAGTCCCCCAGACTGGGACCTCTGATACCTGGGCATCTCTCTCCCTCAGCACTTAAAAGGTAACGAACTCCTGTTCAGAACCCTGTTTTTGTAATTTACATGGAATCAAATCTAGCCACTTTTTTTCTTTTGTCTTCTACCTTTGACATCTTGGTTAAAAAATTCTCCCTCGGGACTTCCCTGGTGCTCTAGTGGTTAAGAATCTGCTTTCCACTGCAGGGAATGTGAGTTCGATCCCTGGTCAGGGAACTAAGATCCCACATGCCGCAGGGCAACTAAGCCCGCGTGCCTAAACTAGAGACCCCACGTGCCACAAACCACAGAGCCCACGCGCCCTGGAGCCCTCGCACCACAACTAGAGGGCCCGTGCGCCACAAGAAAACATCTCACGTGCCACAATTAAGACCTGATGCAGCCAAATAAATAGCAAATAAATATATTTTAAAAAACTTCTCCCTCGGGGCTTCCCTGGTGGCGCAGTGGTTAAGAATCCGCCTGCCAATGCAGGGGACACAGGTTCGAGCCCTGGTCTGGGAAGATCCCACATGCCGTGGAGCAACTAAGCCCGTGCGCCACAACTACTGAAGCACGCGCACCTAGAGCCCGTGCTCTGCAACAAGAGAAGCCACCGCAATGAGAAGCCCGCGCACCGCAACAAAGAGTAGCCCCCACTCGCCGCAACTAGAGAAAGCCTGCGCACAGCAACGAAGACCCAAAGCAGCCCCTCAAAAACGAACTGCTACTATGGAGAAGAGGAGACAATGACTAATAACAGTAGCAGTGATAGGTATAATAAGTAATGGCTAGCAGTTACTAAGCACATACTGTTTTCCAGGCACATGATCCTATGCATTTTAAAAATATGAATTTATTTAACCTCGCCTGAATTACTGCAATTGCTCCATAACCAGTCTCACTGAATGTACACTTGTGCCTCTAAAAATCTATTCTAAACACAACAGCCAGGGTGATCCTTTCATAATATGTCAAATAATATCACTCCTCTGATCAAAACATGGCTCCCGTCTCACCCAGAGGAAAAGCCTAAGTCCTTACAAAGGCAGGGCATCACTGGAAGCTGAATGCCTCTCTGACTTCATCACTTGGCCTTCTCCTGTCTCACCCTCCAACCCCACCCACTGGCCTTCTTGCTGTTCCTGGATCCCACCAAGCACACTCCACCTCAGGGTCTTTCTTCCTGCTGCCCCCTCCCCTGTGCCACTCCCCACACCCCTCCCCCACTCCCCACACCCCTCCCCCCAATATATCTGCAGGACTGACCCACCCACTTTCTTCCGGTTCCTAGCTCAACTCACTAAGGCCTTCCCTGACCACTCCAGCCACAGATACAGAATGCAGGATTACCATGAACCCCAAGCCTTCCTCCATGTTTCAGTCTTTGGCTGAAACTACTCAGTTGTAAAACTTATCTCAGTCTTAAAACTTTTAAATGATATATTAACATTTTAATGAGAAATATATACCTGTAGCTGTTGAAGATCATCTTCCTGAATGTTCTGGGACAAATTATAAATCTAGAAAACAAAAGTCCAGATTTATTCTACTCTAGCTTACTTCAAATGAATCCCAAATAAGGCTAAAGGACTGAACAGAAGCTTTGTACAATTAAAAGTCTGCACATAAGAATATGAGGTCCAGGGCTTCCCTGGTGGCGCAGTGGTTGAGAGTCCGCCTGCCAATGCAGGGGACACGGGTTCGTGCCCCGGTCCGGGAAGATCCCACATGCCACAGAGCGGCTAGGCCCGTGAGCCATGGCCGCTGAGCCTGTGCGTCCGGAGCCTGTGCTCTGCAACGGGAGAGGCTCACGTACAGCAAAAAAAAAAAAAAAAAAAAAAAGAATATGAGGTCTGTTTAAACAGTAATAACATCTGTCTTTTGGAAAACTATGCATATAATGTTGAAATCACATAATCTTTCCTTTATACTTTAAAATATAGTTTTCTTCAATTTTTACCAAATCTACATTTCCTGTATGATGTAAATGATATAATTTTGATTTTCACCTTTCAGACTTTCCTTGGAATATACTACATATATTTATGATCAAAATGGAAAGATAGTTTAGGCTCCTTCTTAAGCCTGTAAGAGCTTAACTTATATCTGTAGTCTAAAAAGAACATTTACATATCACCATAGGAATGCTGATAACAGAACAATAACTGAAACTAGATGTATTTTCTTCATCTTATTTCTTCTACAAACTTTTTTCCTAGTCAAATGGTCTTACCTGAACAGAACTAGTCATGGTACTTAGAGCAAAGATGGTAGCACAATCTTTCACAGTGGATTGGCTGTCAAATGCCCCCTGGGTATCCATCAGAACAACTGCAACCTATGAAAAAAAGGAAACACAAACAAAATATGGAAAAGTGAGAAGGGAAGACATGCAAGGAGAAATTGAAAAGTACAGGTAATATTTAAATGAGGCTTAAGCACCTGCTCGTAGGTTCTATCCGAAAAGTACAATTACAGCTGACCCTTGAACAACAGGGGTTTGAACTACACAGGTCCACTTAATACGTGAATTTTTTTCAATAAATGTAAGTATTCAGCTACCTTGTATTTTTGAACAGAGAACTTTGCTGGAGAAGATTATCTACTCTCATTCGGTGATATGATACAAAATAGAGGTATATAAAGCCATATGAAAAGAGGGGAAAATCACCCTAACAATCAAAACAGCCAAATGTTGAAGTCTATTAGCTCACTTTCAAAGTCAGTCATTTGGATTGGCTAAGTCAATTAATTAATTGACTTAGTTTAAACTTAGGCATAATCAAAAAATAAATAAAACATATGGCGTGGGATATTTTTGGCATTTACCTGCAAGCCTGCATTGCATTCTTCTCTCAAATTTCTAGAGTTTTCTCGTTGTTTGATAAAATAAAATGAACATTTATTTCAATCTTTATGAAACAGAGACCACACCACAGATGCCAAATGAAAGCAGGAGAAACTAGGCTATCATTCACTCTATGTAATTAGGTTTCATGAAGCCTTAATGAACGTTCCCACCTTAAAAGTTAGATGTATGCAAAATGTTAAATAAGATATAGTACCTTATAATCCTTATACAACTTGCTATAATTTTCAGTCATATAATTTAAAAATAAAACTTGGGCTTCCCTGGTGGCGCAGTGGTTGAGAGTCCGCCTGCCGATGCAGAGGACACGGGTTCGTGCCCCGGTCCGTGAAGATCCCACATGCCGCGGAGCGGCTGGGCCCGTGAGCCATGACCGCTGAGCCTGCGCGTCCGGAGCCTGTGCTCCGCAATGGGAGAGGCCACAACAGAGAGAGGCCCGTTTACCGCAAAAAAATATATAAATAAATAAATAAAAATAAAAATAAAACTTTTCAAACTCGTGCATAACTGGTTCCAAAAGAGGACAGGGTTTAATATGTTCAGAAAAATAAGTAAATTCATCAGCAAGTGCCTAGTTCTTTACCAATACCGAAATTATTGCAAAGGCCAGACGGGAAGCTTGCTATGAAGCTCTACTGAATACTAGAAGAGAAATGCCATAGTCAAAAACATTTTTAAGTAAGATTTATGATAACAAATACAAATCAAAATTTTTATTCTTAGAAATGGCATTTTTATTACTTAGAAAAGTATTTTTATTCTTAGAAATGATAATAAATCATTTTATATAGTTTATATATCAGGACCCATTAATAACATTATATATTTATGGATTTTCACATACCCAACACACTACTGTGATTGAATACATGTGATATAAATTCAACCAAAAGAAAGCACTGTTCAGAAAAAAAGGTCAATTCAAATGAAATGAAGTTTCTAGCCTGAATACACTGAAACCTAATGATAAAAGACTTCATCTACCCATACCTTAGCTGTTTTGTGAAGAGGATACTGTCAAACTAAACGACCAATCAAGACTAATCATGGGGACTTCCCTGGTGGAACAGTGGTTAAGAATCCGCCTACCAATGCAGGGGACACGGGTTCAAGCTCTGGTCCGGGAAGATCCCACATGTCGCAGAGCAACTAAGCCTGTGGGCCACAACTACTGAGCCTGCGCTCTAGAGCCCGCGAGCCACAACTACTGAAACCTGCGTGCCTAGAGCCCACGCTCCTCAACAAGAGAAGCCCGCACACTGCAATGAAGAGTAGCCCCCGCTCACCGCAACTAGAGAAAGCCCACACGCAGCAATAAAGACCCAATACGGCAAAAAATAAATAAATAATAAACAAATAAATTAAAAACAAAAATAAAACTGAAGGTTTAAAAAAAAAAGACTAATCATGGCTGGAACAAGTGGATTTCCACATGTGAAAGAATGGTTTTGGATCCCTACCTCACATCATATACAAAAATTAACTAAAACAGATCAAGACCAAAATATTAGAGCAAAACCCACAAAACTCATAGAAGAAAGCATAGGTGTAAATCTTCATGGCCTCAGATTAGGCAATGGTTTCTAATATATGACACCTAAAGCACAACAGACCAAAAAAAAATATAGAAACTGGACTTCAAATAATTGCAAATCACATATCCGATGAAGGTCTAGTATCCAGAATGCATAAAGAATTCAACAACAAAAAGACAACCCAACTAAAAAATGGATTTGATTTGAACAGACGTTTTTCCCAAGAAAATACACAAATGGTTATGTGAAAAGATTCTCAACATCATTAGTCATTACTAGTGTTACATCATGGATGGGCCTTGAGGGCACTGGGCTGGGTGCGAGAGGCTACACAAATGACCCATATGTTACGTGACTCCATCTATATGAAACAGCCAACATGGAAGAGGAAAGTAGATCGATAGTGGCCACGGGCTGAGAGAAGAGGGAAATGGGGAGTGACTGAGTTTCTTTTGGGGCTGATGAAAATGTTCTGGAATTAGATGGTGATACCTGCACAGTCTTGTGAGTGAACTAAAAACTGCTGAATTATGTATTTCAAAGGTTGAATTTTATGGTATGTGAATTATACCTCAATGAAAAAGAGAAAACCATGGCATCTGCTAATGAGAAAAACGAGGCCAAACAGAGGGAAAAAGAAGACATACTAAAGAGAAGCTCTTTGAGGAGTGGGAGTCATAAGTATACTTAAAGTGCTGCATATTTCGGGGAAATAGTATTCTCATATCATGTAGTGGAATAGTAAAATACCATAACTACCTTCAAGAACAATTTGGCAATAGCTAGAAAAAGAGGAAATGGGCATTCTCAGACCCAGTAATTCCACTTGTAGGTGGCTTTCTAATTAGACAAGCTCTAAGCTAAAACCTCACCAAGTATAAAATAAGACAATCTTGCTAAACTTTTATTTGGCTAACTTCTAAAGAACTGCTTATCAGTACAGCATTTATCCAATATTAATTTTTTTTAATTGTAGTTAATTTATAATGTTGTGTTAGTTTCTGGTGTAGGAATATTGATTTTTTTTAAAGCACTCCTGATCCTGCTAGATGTCTGAATGTCATTTTTTTTAAAACACATTAGAAACACAACAAGGTATCCCTACACACCAGAAAATTGACAATACCAAATGCTAACAAGAATATGAAACATCAGGACCTCTCACTCACTGCTGGCGAGCATGCAAAATGGCACAACTAGTTTGGAAGACAGCTTGGCAGTTTCTTACAAAACTAAGCATAATCTTACCATACAATCCAACAGTTGCACTTCTTGGTATTTACCCAAATGAGTTGAAACTTATGTCCACACAGTAACCTGCCCATGAATATTTACAGCAGCTCTACTCATAATTACCACAACTTGGAAGCAAACAAGATGGCATTCAGTAGGTGAGTGGATAAATTGTGGTCATACATAGAGTGGAATACTATTCAGAAATAAGAAGAAATGAGCTATCAATACAAACAGATGTGAGGAACCATAAAAATATGTACATTGCTAAGTGAAAGAAACCAATCAGAAAAGGCTATATACTATATGATTCCAACTATATGACATTCTGGAAAAGGCGAAACTATGGGGACAGTAAAACAATCAGTGGTTGCCAGGATTTCAGGGAGGGGAGGAGGAACAAACGGGTGGAGCACAGAGGATTTTTCGGGCAGTGCACTTCCTCTGTTGATACAGTAATCGTAGCTACATATCATTATACATTTATCAAAACCCACAGAACGTGCAACACAAAGAGTGAACCTTAACGTAAACCATGGGCTTTAGTTAATGACAACGTATCAATACTGGTCCATTAATTATAACAAATGTATCACACTGACAAAAGATGTACATAATAGGGAGAAACCGGAAGGGGGAACTCTGCACTTCCTGATCAATATTCCTATAAACCTAAAATTACTCTAAAAAATAAAGTCTATTAAATTTTTTTAAAGGGCAGGAAACCAAAATGCTGTCAATAAACATGGAGCTCTATAGGAGTCAATTCAACAAGATAAAAAAATGAGGGCACTATAAATGTCAGATAACTAAAAGCAAAGCCTGCTTACTACTAACACTGTAGAGATTTCCTAAACTCTTAAGGAGAATTAATACACCACATTCCCCCAAAATTAAAATGAGGCCCACCAGTTCTGTACAAAGCGATCACATAGTCAACAATAATTATTTATTCCTAAAAATAAATTAAGAAAGCATCTGGGCTTCCCTGGTGGCACAGTGGTTGAGAGTCCGCCTACCAATGCAGGGGACGCGGGTTCGTGCCCCGGTCCGGGAGGATCCCACATGCCGCGGAGTGGCTGGGCCCGTGAGCCATGGCCGCTGAGCCTGCGCTCCATAACGGGAGAGTCCACAGCAGTGAGAGCCCCGCGTACCACAAAAAAAAAAAAAAGAAAAAAAAGAAAAATTAAGAAAGCATCTACCGGGGGGTGGGACGAATTGGGAGACTGGGATTGACACATATACACTACTACGTATAAAACAGATAACTAATAAGAACCTACTGTTTAGCACAGGAAACCCTATCTGTGGTGACCTAAATGCAAAGGAAATCTAAAAAAGAGTGGACGTATGTATGTATAACTGATTCACTTTACTATACAGCAGAAACTAACACAACATTGTAAAGCAACTATACTGCAATAAAAAGTAAAAAAAAAAACGCCTACCACACATTACCAGAAATGTAGAAACAGAACATGATACAAATAATAAGAACAGAAATGAAGGTCATAGGGCCTTGTTGTGGTGCCGTCTCTAAGAGTCGCTATGTTACCCACAGCAGGCCCTTAACTCACTGGGTCATTTTACAGCATCTCTAAAATGAAGATCGGACTTCCATTTCCAGTCAAAATGGAATAACAGACTGGATTTATCCTCCCACCTAAAACCAAACATAACAGACAAAATATATGAAACAACAGTTTCAAGACATTGGACACTGGGTAACAAAGGATAATGATCCTTGAAAGAAAGGAAACAGATGAGGTGAGCCTTACAGTTGACCCAGCTAACTGGCCAAGGCACAGGGAGGGAGAACCCAGGCAGAGCCACCAGATTCTCTGAGTCAGGAAATACAGCTGAGAGTCAGGAAGACCAAGGAAACGGGAGTTCTTAGGCAGAGCACCTGAGCAGAGAGCTACTGAGACAAAGAACACCAGGGATCTACAGAGGGTACCCATCAAGTGTTCAGCTGAGTCCTGACCAACCCATGTGAATAAGGAAATTACCTGAGGCTGGAGAAAGAGCCATTCAAAAGGGTTAGAGGGGGCTTCCCTGGTGGCGCAGTGGTTCAGAGTCCGCCTGCCGATGCAGGAGACACGGGTTTGTGCCCCGGTCTGGGGAGATCCCACATGCCGCGGAGCGGCTGGGCCCGTAAGCCATGGCTGCTGAGCCTGCGCGTCCGGAGCCTGTGCTCCGCAACGGGAGAGGCCACAACAGTGAGAGGCCCGCGTACAGCAAAAAAAAAAAAAGGGGTTAGAGGGAACACTACCTAAGGTTCACAGAGGACCAAGAACAGCACCTGTTCCCTCCAGTCAGACTACAAAAACCCCATAAAAGCAACTAGACAAAAAGACACACAAGAACAAAGGATAACACCTATTTCTCAGCAGAAGTAATGTCAGCAAAAAGGCAAGGAAGGGACTTCCCGGGTGGCACAGTGGATAAAAATCAGCCTGCCAACGCAGGGGACACAGGTTCGATCCCTGGTCCGGGAAGATCCCACATGCTGCAGAGCAACTAAGCCAGCGAGCCACAACTACTGAGCCCATGTGCCACAACTACTGAAGCCTGTGTGCCTAGAGCCTGTGCTCCACGACAAGAGAAGCCACCGTAATGAGAAGCCCATGCGCCGCAGCTAGAGAAAACCCGCACGCAGCAACAAAGACCCAACGCAGCCAAAAAAATAAATAAAATTAAATCTTTTTTTTTTTTGGCTGCATTGGGTCTTCGTTGCTGCGTGTGGGCTTTCTCTTGTTGCGGAGCACGGGCTCTAGGCACACAGGCTTTAGTAGTTGTGGCACACGGGCTCAGTAGTTGTGGCTCGCTGGCTCTAGAGCACAGGCTCAACAGTTGTGGTGCACAGGCTTCGTTGCTCCACGGCACGTGGGATCTTCCTAGACCAGGGCTCGAACCCGTGTCCCCTGCATTGGCAGGTGGATTCTTAACCACTGTGCCACCAGGGAAGCCCTAAATTAAATCTTTAAAAAAAAAAAAAAAAAAAGGCAGAGGAGTGACATCTTTGAGGCACTGAAAGACAAAACTGCCAGCCTAGAATTCTATACCCAGCGTAAATATTTTCAAAACAAAGGCAAAATACTTTTCAAACATAGAAAGAAAGCTAAAAGAATTCTGCACCAAAAGAGCAGCACTCCAGGAAATTTTTTTTTTTTTTTTTGCAGTACGTGGGCCTCTCACTGTTGTGGCCTCTCCCGTTGCGGAGCACAGGCTCCGGACGCGCAGGCTCAGCGGCCATGGCTCACGGGCCCAGCCGCTCAGCGGCATGTGGGATCTTCCCAGACCGGGGCACGAACCCGTGTCCCCTGCATCGGCAGGCGGACTCTCAACCACTGCACCACCAGGGAAGCCCAGGAAATATTAAAGAAGTCCTTCAGCCTGAAGGAAAATGAATACAAAAAATAGATAAAAATCTGGACACAAAAAGTGAAGAGCAGTTAATGGTAACTGCATGGGTAAATATATGGCTTTTTTCTTATTATTTAAATATCTGTAAAAGATAACTGACCATTTAAACAACAATAAAAACAATGTTATTAAAGTAAAATAGTGACTAAAGCTGGGAGGGGAGAAATGGAACATCAATTAAATTTCAGTAAAGCTGTTAAAAAATTAAAGGCTGGATAAAAATAACATCTAAAGATCCTTCCATGCAAAAGTTTCTAATGTTACATTCCAAAAACTCCTTATTCTCCTACATTCTCTACCCTTAAAAAAAAATGTGTGATAATCTCCCCATTTTGCTACTCATTTCTGTATGTGTATTTATGCTGAAAAGAAAAAAGAGGGTTTTCCAATATACCTTTCTCCTGAAACTTTATTAAAAAAAAAAAAAAACACAAAGATAGAAAGAAACAAAACATTAAAAGAATAAGGAAAAGAAATAGAAACTGTGGAAACAGTGATCAAGAGTTCATGCATCAGGGACTTCCCTGGTGGTCCAGTGGTTAGGACTCCTAGCTCCCAACGTAGGGAGCCCAGGTTCGATCCCTGGTCAGGTAACTGCATGCTGCAACTAAAGATCCCGCACGCGGCAACAAAGATCCTGCGTGCCGCAACTAAGCCCCAGCGCAGCCAAATAAATAAATAGACATTTTTTTTAAAAGTCGTGCATCAACTGTCCAGCTCTCAAAATATTTAATTACTTAACATCAAGGAAACGGCAGAAGCTGAACAACCTGAAGGGGGGATATGAAACCTGAAGCCCTGGAAAGACTCAAAAATGAGAGGCACAAACAGCTGTGAAGGTATGCTTTAGGGTGAGGCTAAAAACAGAAGGAATGGGTTAAAGTCTGTTGAAGAAACAGTCATAACCCCAAATCCCCTCTTCCACTTTAGGAGACACATGACTTGCCCCTGCTGACCCTTACAAAGAAACCTGGGGAGAAGCTCTATAACTGAAGCTTTCTAGGCTCGAAGAGGTGGGTAAGATGCCCTGCTGACAGCTGGAGGGGTGGGGGGAGTGAATGCTTACACGAGTAAGAATGTAAAGAACAGAAGTAACATCTGAACAGCTGAGAGCATTAGCCTTTGGGAAGTGAAAATGAGCAGACAGAGGACTAGGGCACCTGACAGCTATTTTTCGTTAGAAGCCTTGTTACTCTTTGACCTTTTATTCACGAATTAGTTTTAAACATGCACTTATATCATTATGATAAAAATCATTTTTAATTGGATTATCAGGCTACACATTAAAGTTCTCATTCTGTTGTGTTTGTTAGTTTGTAAGTCTTTTTCTTCCTTACCTTCTTCCCATCTGGCTTCTCCACAGTGAAAACCTCACTCCAGATCTGGATCCCAGTGGTTTCTGGGTCAGAGCCCCCTCTCCATGAAAACCCTGTTAACGGTTCTTCTCGGTCACCCAACCAATTTGAACGGCCACCTTCCTTCTATAGGAGAAATAAGAAATTTCCATTAAGTCTAAAATTTCGAGTAACTTTACACATCAAGGATAATTCATGAGCTTAGTTTGCTCTTTTGGACATAACAGTCTCACTTTCTAATTTGAAATGAAATAATTCTACTTTACCTGGAAATATAAGTATCGTAGCATAAAGTCCAGAAAGAAGGACTTGCCCTTTCGGAAGGCACCAGCCACTGACACCACCACCACATCAAGGTCTCGGATGTGTTCCTGTAAGAGGATGCTGGCCAAGGCTTTCTCTTCTAGCTCAAAGGCATGTTGGTCTTTCTGAACCAAAACAACCTGCACTGGACAAGGCTTTCCACTCTCCATAGCATCACCTATGTTGTTGTAGAGAAAAAAAAATATTAGTTTCAAATATTTTTAAAATGTTATTTTTTTAACATGGGAAGAGTAAAAACTTCTTAAACACAGCACAAAGCACCAACCATAAAAGAAAAAAATGACAAATTAGACTTCATTAAAATTAAGAATTTTTGTTCATTAAAAGACATCCTTAAGGGAGTAAAAATGCAAGTCACAGGCTAGGAGGAAATATTACTAACACCTAAATCCAAAGGACTCATATCCAGAATCATTCTAGAAAAACAAAAGAAAAAGACAACCATTCCCCCTTTAAAAATAGCAATGGGTAAAAGATTATGAACGAGCATATCATTAAAAAAGGATATCCAGGACTTCCCTGGTGGCACAGTGGTTAAGAATCCGCCTGCCAATGCAGGGGACATGGGCTTGAGCCCTGATCCGGGAAGATCCCACATGCTGCGGAGCAACTAAGCCCGTGTGCCACAACGACTGAGACTGCGCTCTAGAGCCCATGAGCCACAACTACTGAGCTCACACGCCACAACTACTGAAGCCCATGCGCCTAGAGCCCGCGACAAGAGAAGCCACCGCAATGAGAAGCCCGCACACAGCAACAAAGAGTAGGCCCTACTCGCCACAACTAGAGAAAGCCCGCGTGCAGCAACGAAGACCCAATGCAGCCAAAAATAAATAAATAAATTACTTTAAAAATAAAACCATAGGGCTTCCCTGGTGGCGCAGTGGTTGGGAGTCCGCCTGCCGATGTGGCGGACGTGGGTTCGTGCCCCGGTCCGGGAGGATCCCACGTGTCGCGGAGCAGCTGGGCCCGTGGGCCATGGCCGCTGAGCCTGCGCATCCGGAGCCTGTGCTCCGCAACGGGAGAGGCCACAACAGTGAGAGGCCCGTGTACCGCAAAAAAAAAATAAAAATAATAAAAATAAAACCATAATGACATACCACTGCCCACCCATCAGAGTGGCTAAAATTTCAAAGACTGACAATATCAACTGTGGGAGAGACTGTGGTACAACTGTAATTCTCATACATTCTGATAGGAATAGAAAAAACCGTTAGGCAGTATCCACTAAAACTAAACATAACCATGATAAAGCAATTCCACTCCTAGGTATACACCTAAGAGAAATACATGTGTCTATCCACCAAAAGACATATATACAATGTTCACATCAGCTTTACTCAAAATGGTCCAAAACTAGAAATAACCCAAACGTCCACCAATAGTAGAAAGGGTGACTGCCACCGCTAAGTCGTAATTTTTTTTTTTTTTTTTTTTTGGCCGCAACACGTGGCTTGTGGGATCTCAGCTCCCTGACCAGGGAAACCGAAACCCTAACCCTAACCCTAACCCTAACCCGCGGCCCCTGCAGGGGAAGTGCAGTCTTAACCACTGGACCACCGGGGAACATCCTAAGCCTTTTAAATACATCATTTTACTTAATCCTCAAAACAACCCTACGAGGTAAATAATACTGCTCCATTTTAAAAATAAACTAAGGCTTACAAAAGTTAAGCATCTTCCCCAACAGGTTCTGGAGAAAAGCTTGAAAAGATCTTTAGGTGGCTATGTTTTGCAGATCACTCTTAATAACCTAGTCAAGGTTTTAGGGACAATTAATTCTTCAGTTCAAAATTAAGCACTAACCAGTAGTTTCTCTCCTAGAGTTGAAAGCACAAAGATATTAATTCTTTGAAATTCAGAGCCACTTAGCTACATGGATTTACGGAAGGTTTACAAAAAAACAGCAGTGGAGGGCTTCCCTGGTGGCACAGTGGTTGAGAGTCCGCCTGCCGATGCAGGGGACACGGGTTCGTGCCCCGGTCCGGGAAGATCCCACATGCTGCGGAGCGGCTGGGCCCGTGAGCCATGGCCACTGAGCCTGCGCGTCCGGAGCCTGTGCTCCACAACGGGAGAAGCCACGACAGTGAGAGGCCTGCGTACCGCAAAAAAACAAACAAACAAAAAAAAACAGCAGTGGGGCCTATGAAATGAGGCAAAGCACTATTTCCCTTCCCTAAGTGTATGTACTAAAGGAGATGTTTTTAGGTAGTTAAAAGGGCACTTGTTTTATTTTAATAATTATGTATTTTAATGACTATTAAACATTAGGAAACAAAACCATGTTTTAATGGATTATTGCTTAGGAGGCTAAGTTTTAAAAACTAATCAATATAAAGTAAATTGAAGGACAAATATTGAGCATAGAACAGGTAGGCAGATTTGGCCAAAATCATACACATGGTCCCAGAAACACTTTCATCTGGGAAGCAGTAAAGGCTGAATGATCACAGCAGGCAAAGTCGACAAAACAGCTTGACGGCCAGACTCTAATCTTTAAGTATGGGAATTGCTGCTCACTTTTTATTTATTTTTATTTTTTGGCTGCATTGGGTCTTTGTTCCTGACCATAGGCTTTCTCCAGTTGTGGCGAGCAGGGGCTACTCTTCATTGCACTGCACGGGCTTCTCATTGCGGTGGCTTCTCTTGTTGCAGAGCACAGGCTCTAGGCACGTGGGCTTCAGTAGTTGCAGCACACAGGCTCAGTAGCTGCGGCATGCAGGTCCTACAGTGTGCGGGCTTCAGTAGTTATGGCACATGGGCTCAGTAGTTGTGACGCATGGGCTTAGTTGCTCCGCGGCATGTGGGTGCTCTCCGGACCAGGGATCGAACCTGTGTCCCCTGCATTGGCAGGCAGATTCTTAACCACTGCGCCACCAGGGGAGTCCCGCTGCTCGCTTTTTATACTTACTGTATCAGGCAGCAACAAAAGGGTTCTTGCCACTTTTTAATTTTTTGCAAACTGTTGGAAAACAATTTATAAACATTGATTCAGTGTCATTCTCGCATTATAATACATATACACTAATACTTTTCTTTCCCATTATTTCCTATTATAAAAAGGAAACATTTCTGTAAATAATCTCTTAGAGTTCTTATTGCCATAACAGCAGGTGAATCCAGGACCTGAAGACCTTCAGTCTTTTATATAAAAGAAGAAATGAGAACAATTTATCCACACCTTATGGATAAGCCACAAGGTTAAGTACTGTGCAGTACTCAAAGCAATACCAAACAAAGTCCCTGAGATGGCTGGTTGCTCCCCCAATATTCATTTTCTCCTCCTGCTATGGTAATATATTTTTAGCTGGGCATATAAATGCTCAGAAGAAACACATTTCCAACCCAACCTTGTATGTAGGGTATCACTGTGTGACTAAGTTCTGACTGGAAATGATACAGCAACTTCCATATCATGCATCTTCCCCCTTCCTGCTGGCTATATGCAAAAGTGGGAGCAAGTCACCCTGGACCAGGCATGTGAGGGCAACACCCTAGGAATACTGGAGCAACAAGAGAGGTAGGGCTGAGGACTTGGTGTAGCAGAACTGCCATGCTGGCTCACTTTCATATGAAAGAAAAATGTCTACCTCGTTTAAATCACTTACTTGGAGGCTCTACGAGATACAACCAAACCTAGTAACCAATACAATAGTCCCCCAGGACTTCACAATTGAGTTCATGGTACTGGCTCTTTCAATTTTATCTATTTCACTATTAAAGTTTACTGAGCAGTGTGAATGTACTGACACAAAGCAGGCACACAATAAACAACTGTAAAAAGGATGGATGGTATGTACTGTAATCTAGTTGAAAGCTACCACCCTAAGAATGCAGGTGATACTGTCAGGGCAACAGGTATGGAAGATAAAGTTACCTGGGCTACAAACAAGAGAGAATAATCACATGACAAAAATGTATGCAGTTGTAGACAACGAACTGCACTTCAAGAGAAGATGAAGACCACTAAGAAGGACAGTTTAAAAAAAAAGTGATAAAGCCTTCCCTCATCTCTTCCTCTTTCTGCCTATAGCAAAGTGAAAAAGAAGAGAACCAGGCTATATTTACTTGAGGGAGCTGGGGTGATCCTGCATTTCTCTCCGACAGTATACTGGGCACACTGGATTTTAAAAGATCTTGTTCCTTTGGTTTGGATCCACTTAAGGGAAAAATCATTTTAAACTGTACACATCATTAATAATTTAATTTAAACAAATAGAGCTGCTCACTTTTCACCACACTATCTTTATCTCTCACTTCCTAAGACAAGAGAACTATATTATTGATCATCCAAGTAAAAATCTTATTTCCACTCACCCTTTTCTAGATATCATGTAAATTTCCTTTGCTGATTTATCCTCGCATCTCAGACAACCTGCCCCCCAATCTCATAGATCCCTTAATCAAAACCTCAGGGCCATCTCCTTTAGCCAAGCCACCTTCCAACCTTTCCTGTCTGTTAGGTTGATCATGCAAGTCAACACCCCCGAGTGTTGCTTTAAGGATGTTACCTCATCCTTCAGGGATGAATGCCTTCATTACAGTACATAAACATATCAGCAACTACCTAAAAAAAAAACTATCAAGGACCTCCCTGGTGGCACAGTGCTTAAGAATCTGCCTGCCAATGCAGGGGACACGGGTTCAAGCCCTGGTCCAGGAAGATCCGACATGCCACGGAGCAACTAAGTCCGTGTGCCACAACTACTGAGCCCATGCTCTAGAGCCTGCAAGCCAAAACTACTGTGCCCGCGTGCCACAACTACTGAAGCCCGCACGCCTAGAGCCCATGCTCTGCAACGAGAAGCCAACACAATGAGAAGCACACGCACTGCAACCAAGAGTAGCCCCCGCTCGCAGGAACTAGAGAAAGCCCGCGTGCAGCAACAAAGACCCAACGTGGCCAAAATTAAATAAATAAAATAAAATAAATAAAACAAATTTATTTAAAAAACTACAAAAACATTTTATGGATTGATGGCTGAAAGCTAAAAAGTCTCCATCCTGTAAGTCAAACCCTTTCACCATTCGCCCTACTGCCTTCGTTCCTCTAATTCTTTATTCTCCTCATCCTCCCAGGTAAATTTATACTCACTGGTCTTCCTCCTAGGAGAAAGTTAGGATTCACGTCCTGTCCTGTCTTGATTCCAAATTTTC